GTTCCTCTCCTTCACTTATCTCTTTAGCCTTTCATCCTGGTGTCTCTCTCCCTCGACGCCTCTCTACCTCCGATGCTCTTTCAGCCTCTCTCGCTCTGCTTCTTGTCCCACTTGTCTTGCTTGTCTTCCACCCTTTCGCTTGGCAGAAGTTGATCACTGAGTCCTCCTCTCTTTGACTTGCAGACACCCACACATGAACACACACACACACACACACACACACTCGACAGCAGGTTACTCTGTGTCAGCGACTGTTCTCTGCTGAGAGGCTGTGGGCGATGTGATGATGTCGAGTTACTGTGGCGATTCTCTGTTGCCGCGGAGACGCGTTTGCGACAACCAAATGCAGAATGCAAGCACAGAAACACACAACGACGAACGCGTACAGCCCTACTCAGGATGAGCAAACATGTCAACGTGCTCTCAGTGAGACGGGCGAAAAGATGCATAGATCCAGACACAGAGGCTCTCGACTAGACCTGCATATACGCCCACGTAAACATGAGACGTCAGGTAGAGCTTCCCTGCTTTGACAAGGACCCTCTGAGAGAGGTGGAAGACAAAGAAAACAACATATATAGCAATCTGAATCCCCAAAACAAGGTGCCTGATGCATGTATATTAATATGTTGGCATGAATGAGGGCTACAACTAAGCAGTGTTAATTATGTTCTCAAATAATTGATTGTTTAGTCAATAAAATGTCCAAAAATAGTGAAAGATGTCCATCAGTGTCCCCAAAGCTTGAGATACGGCCCTCGGGTTTCTTTTGTTGTGTTCACAACCCAAGGATGTTTAATTTACTGTCACAGAGGAATAAAGAAACCAGAAAATAATCAGATTCAAGAAGCTGGAATAAGAGATTTTACTATTATTTTCTTTTCTTAAAAAACTGACAAATCCAGGTGTCAAAATAGTTTAAAGGGCTGCAAGGTGGCTCGGTGGTTATTATTGTAGCCTCACAGCTAGAAGGCCACCGGTTTGCATCCCAGTGAGGACACCCGGGATCTCTCTGCATAGAGTCTCCATGTTCTCCCCGTGCAGCGTGGGTTCTCTCCGGGTTCTCCGGCTTCCTCCCACACAGTCCAGAAACATGCTGAGGTTAATTGGTGATTCTAAATTGTCTGTAGGTGTGAATGTGAGTGTGCTTGGTTGTCTGTCTCTAAGTGTAGCCCTGTGATAGACTGGTTACCTGTCCAGGTGAACCTGCCTTCACCCTGAGTCAGCTGGGATAGACTCCAGCCCCCCATGACCCTAGTGAGGATTAAGCGGTGTATAGATTTTAAAAAAAACTGAGGAAGCCGGAGAACCCGGAGAGAATCCACGCTGTACAGGGAGAACATGGAGACTCCACGCAGAAAGATCCCGGGTGTCCTCACTAGGACGCGAACTGGTGACCTTCTAGCTGCGAGGCAACTATGCTAACCACCGAGCCACCTTGCAGCAAACAGATAGTCAGTCTGAAGTAATTCCAAGGAATTTTTAATTGATAAAAAGTAATAGAAAGTTTTACAGAGTGCAGGATTGTGCAAATGTACATAGTACATGGTGTAAACAACTTTAGATTTAGGTTTAAACAATTGTTTTTATTGTTTATTGTGAAGCTGCTGCATAACAAACCGCCCTGCAAGGGACAAATAATAAAGTTGAACTTGAAGTAGATGTGCAAAGTATAATAGTAATGAACAAACTTAACAAGTCTCTCATTCGCCCACAATGTGTCTTTCAGCTCAAACTACTCCAAAGATGGTTCATTTCACCACGTCTGTCTGTATAACCTCTGGTTTCAGGGATGAGCTAAACCGGCTGTTTTGCTCTGAAAACCAAAACCAGCTGCTGTTCCTTCCTCCTCCAGGAAGAACAAACTGTCTAAACTGGGCAGCGATTGGTTAGTTAGGTGTTACATAGAACCTTGCTCAAGTTCGCTAGGAAGCTAGCTAGTCATGGGGAGGTTTGATGAATGGCACAAGAGATTTGAATTTATGCCTCCAAGTTTGTAACAAACCACATAATACAGTAAAAATGGATTTTCACCATATGGGGCCTTTAATGTCTTTATGAATCCGAGGCTATAATAGCAGCATCTCAATTCTCCAGTAACTCATTCTGAATGGAGATGAATTGTTAAACAAAGACATTATGCAGGCAGAGATTACAGGGACACTGATTAGGAGCCGAATGCATAGGAAGCGCTGTTTCTAAAAATAAGAGCTGCAACGTAGAGAGTGATTTAAAAAATTACACAGTACAAGAGAAAGAAATTTACATAAAAGCAGTGCTGGGTGTAGATGAACTCTACTGTATGTGCTGCTTTGTGCTTATAAAGCTGGTTTTCATTACACTGAATAACAAAAAATTCACGCTAATCAGATAGCTGGTAAAAGAAGAAGGAGGGAAAAAAAGAGAGAGAGCGGGAGGAAGAGAATAAAAGCGCGAGAGTAATAACACCAATCAGACAGCATTAGCAGAGCAGAGACCAGTAACTGGAGCTGTGAAGTGTGAGTCATCGGCAGTTAGCAAGACCCGACACACACACACACACACACACGCGCGCTGAAGAGCCGTCAACCACTTGTACCGCTCTCCCTCTTTGTCTGTCATCACTCACCCCTTTATTCTCTAAGTAGCTCGCACACCTTCCCTTTTCTGCACAAATACAATCAGTCTCACATTTTTAATTCACACGCCATTTCGCCTGGATTCTTCACCTTTTTTTTTTTTCCCTCTCCACAATCTAGACATACATGCATTCTCACACACTCAAGCCAACACACCCACACAGGCACAAATCCACACACTTTCTCCCTCCCGGCTTGACATTCACGCGGCGTTGCAGCGACGAGCTGCTTCCTGCGCCGCTCGCCCACCTGCTGCATCACACGCCGTAATACGGAGACGGAAAGCATCTTTTCAACCTTTCTAAGTGAGAAACACTTAAGGAAAAGTGCCATCTCTCCTGTGAGCATCACTCAAGTATCCAACCCCCTTTTTCGAGCGTGCACTTCCTCTGACGGACACAGAGTTGTGTCGTGCAAGTGGCGGACAGGTTGGTGTTTGTGTGACCTTTGAAGAAAATAGCAAATTGATTTGGGTGATTTTTTTTCACCAACTAAAGAGTTCCTTACTGAAGGCTACTGACACATAATATTCACATAAATATGTTTGTTTTACTACAGCGTGGAGTTTACACTTACAAGCTGCACAACACAAGAAATCCGCAGCAATCAGTAACCATAGAAACATGTTTTGCCATGGTTACGCTGCTCCAAAACTGTGAGTGCAAACCTCGTAATTCACATCATCAAATATGCCGTGTCTAAATATGGGCTAAAGATCTCAAAGAGGCTCTCTCTGGTTGAAAAGAATCGGATGTTTATCTCTGCTGTAGGCTGCGTTGGGTGCAGAGGTGGCGCTTCCTCCATCCATGTTTAAGTAAAGGTGGAGGTGCTGCTAACATGCTAACAGGGCAACATTTGCACCACATGCTGCCAGTGGAAGGTGTGAAATGTCACTTTTTTTTCGCCAGATTTATTAACATAACAATAAAAAAATCTATGCTTTGTAATCACAGACTGTATATAAAGTTAAGTAAACTTTTTGTAATGTCATCCGTAGGTTTCTGAAGGTCTGTATTGCCATTTTGGCAGTGCCTAACTTCAAAAGTGAGCAACGAGATGAAGCAGTGGTGGAGCTGAGGCAGACTGCCCCTACTTATGTATAGCTTTAATCGTTAATACAATTTCAACAGGTGAGTTATTTAAAAAAAAATTAACCCCCTTCACAGTTGTTCTGAATAGAAGTTACATAAAGAAGCCAAAAAAGTTTTTGGTACCAGACTCTAAACATGTTTATTTCTGATATAAAGTTGAACATTTTAACACAGAGGTCGATGGGGATTGACTCATTTTTAGAGGCAGCCTCAAGTGGCCATTTGAGGAACTGCAGGCACTTATGTATTGGCTTTTTTTAATTAGCACTGAAGGTAATGCTCAGTTTCAACTGAAGATTCAACCCTGATGCCACATTTAACTGATGATAACTGGTAGCTTCCTTTTTTTTAGTATTTCATTCTTTAGCAGCAGAGAAATCTTGAGTTTGCACAGCTGACTGCCTGATTATTGTCTTTAGCTACTGATGGTTGACGAGTTAGAGGAAAAATCTGAACTCTTGACCCCTGAAGTGAGCGGATCCGGTGGTTCTGCTATGCTGTGGGGGCAGTTTGTGGGCAGTTGTCCCCTTTGAGGGAAGACTTGCTGAAAAATCAATGCAAGGTTGTTCTGAGTGATCATGTACTTCCCATGAAGAGACGTTTCTCTGCTAATGGGAGCGGTTTCTTTCAGGCTGACAGTGTTCTCATCCATCGGGTAGTTAACCTACAAAAATCTTTAGTTAAAGTAAAGAACTGATGAAGTAAAGTAGGGGGAAAAAATAGTGGTTTATATACTTAGTTAGCAAAACAGTGCAAAATGCTTTACCTAAGACCTAAAAGGCATTAATACACAATATTGTAAAGCAGTTAACTAAGGATGGAATGAAAAATAATAATACAATGATACAACGATGATTATATTATAGCTGTTATTTTATCACTAAGCTTTGTGTGTATAAATATATATGCATATTTCAAGAATTTTCCCATTAGTCTTTTAACTTTATTCCCGACAGTCTGTTCTCTTTATATCATAGCGTGTCTCTGGGCTGTGGGGCTTCGCTTTTTTTGTTTGTTTTTTTTATCCAATCATATTTCAGCCATCATGTGTTGCCGGGGTCACAGAAATCTGCCTCTTCAGAATCAAAAGCGCAGGCGCCTGCAGCTTAAAATGCATTGTAATGAAACTGTTGCTTTAACCAACCGCCAACATCAAAACATCAAATGAGGGAATATCTTCTGGAAGAATGGTCCTCCATCCCTCCAGTAGCTTCAGTGACTTGCAGAATCAATACCAAGGAATCTGTTCTGGCGACACACAGGGACCAAACACTAAAAAACTTCCTATCCATTTGTCACCCATCTTTTTTTTTTTGCTTTTAATGTTCACTTGTCAAGAGAATCAATACAATAAGCTGAAGAGACAACAGCATGTTTAATGAAATCGATCGTCCGGTTCAGAATTACTTCATGTTTCCGAGTGAAGCTTCAGTTTCTCCTCAGCAGAGGACTGATATGGCCGCTGTGCTTTTATTGGCTTGTTGCACCGTCATGACTGTGATTGAGGCTTTCTTCAGGCTGCGTCTCCACAATACTCAATTTCAAACTTTCCCCTCTCTGATTGTTTTCCTCCGTCTCTCCTCGTCTTGCTCTCCCTTCCATCTCGTCCGCTCTTTGTTCTGCGTTTGTTCCTCCTGCCTGGTCTTTCAGAGGCTGTCCTTCATCTTGTTCGATCCCATTTCTCGACATCTTCTTGTTTGAGCATCTTAGTGTTTTCAGATTCTCGCTAGCCGTGGCGAAGTAGTTCTCCAGCTCCGCCACGGCTCCTTTATCAGAGAACAGGCGGTCCAGGTAGGCCTGAGCGTACTGGTCTGAGGTGATCAGGTCCAGGTTAATTGAGGAGGACACGGCTGTAGATTCACTCTCAGAGACTCTCCGTCTAGCTGCCTCTGCCTCCATGCTGGATAGAGGGATGGTGACACTCTTTCCTGCCTCTCTGTCCGTCACGGTGAGTCCCGTCATGCCGCCCTCCTCTGTAACCTCTCCGTAGGGGTCACAGGCTGCCTTAAGACCCCCTCGACATTTAACAACACCGATTGTATTCGACTTGTAGCGCCTAGAATGAGAACATTGGAGTGTTTAGAGACAATTGGGTTGGAAGAAAGAACAGAACTTTTCAATCAAGTATCACTTTTTTCTCGCAGAAACTGACTCATTTGTGTCACTTTATGAAACACTTGTGCACCAAACTTGTTTCATAAATGCATATTCATGACTTTAGACAAAGCCACAGCGTTGCAGGGACGCTGTCAGCTCTCACACTCATTGATGGAAAACTGCGGCGTTACATTTTCATGTTTCTTCCCATTTCACTCACATGTTGCTGATTATGTAAGGACTGCACGGCCGGGATATTTTTACTAAGCCCAAAGTTTAGGGCTCCACTTTTCTGACAGTCTGATGAGCTTTTTTTTGTGTCTCTGCTGTCATATTTGGAGCAAGCTGCAGAGCAGACAGGCAGGTCCTGTGTGGCTGTAGTTTCCACTGTCAGTGTGCTTTATTAGGCCTCTGCTTCTGTGTGTTTTCTGTCTGACATGATCTCAAAACAAAAAAAAAGAAGCTTATGCATTTTACATGCTTGTCGGTTGTCCACCAGCTCCAGCAACAGTTTAAAAGCTTCATGTAAATTCATGTTGCTGGTCAAGCACATAAAAAAAAAAAAATCCCAGAGGGGTCAGAGATGAACTTATTCTCTCGCCTCAAATGGGAGAAATCACATCCAGCCCACGCAGTCATGAAACAGATATTATTGCTAACTTGCAGCCCACTTTGCAGAGGGCATCTATACATGTAGGAGCCAGTGACCCACAAACACCATATGTACATGTTGGCTGGGGAAGCTGCTGCTGCTGCTGCTGTCAAGGCAATAAAAAAAAAATACCCTTGATTGATGCATTTACCTGTAAGCAGGTATAATCTGAGTCAGGTCTTCTTTGTATTGCTCCAGAGCCGCTCTTGCAGATAAAGGCTCGGCTTTGCCCTCAAGAACAGCCAGATGAACCAACATCTGGGTGTGAAATGCTGCTCCACTGGCCCAGTGTCTCAGAGATCTAAAGGAGCAGACAGCAAAATAACACCACTGCATTTTACACTGACTTCACTGTACTACATCATCCTGTATTCCCTCACCTGGAGTCGCAGTCTCCTCCCAGCAGACAGGTCTTCAGCTGGGTGAGGAGGAGGCTGAGCTGGGTCTCCAGTCTGACCGAGTCCTGAATCAGCTTGTCTTTGTCACTCAGGCTGATCCTGCAGCGCTTCAGGTATTCCTCCATCACCTCCTGAAGCTCCCAGACTCTCTGCTGCAGTGAGAAATCCAAGCATGTGTCATGTGTTGCAGCAATCTTTGGGGATTCACGAGTATTTTATGCATTCTGCGCCTCCTAATGTAACGTTTTATTTTGCAGGATTATGAGCACAATTGGATAAAACATGTAGTTGCACACAAGACTATTATATTTAACGTACTTGGTATGTAATGCTTTATATGTTTGGGGTTATTTTTAAGCCATTTTGCCATCATTTGACAGTACAGTGAAAAGACAGACAAGAAAAAGACAGAAAAGAAGGAGAGAAGAACGGGCAAAAAACGCCCAGCAAAGGGACACAAACCCAAGGCAAACCCATCGGAGACTATAGCCCCTGTAATCAACCACTTGAGCTATAGCAGCGGCCCATCTTTTATGTGATTAACGTTGATTTAGAATCTTTATAAACAACATTTATATTGAGCATAAACAAGCGAGGACTTTGTGATGGTGTTGGGTTTTTGTTGGGGATTCATCGAGTCATTCTTTACATTTTTTTTCATGTTGTGTTTCAAAAGTATCCCCTTCTTTGTTTCGCTTCCACTCTGGTCAGTTTCACCTGCGTTTCGTCACCCGATCAGCCCTTACGTGAGCACATAGCCTTCTCTGTCTATCTGTTTACCTGCCTGTCCTCTGTCGATCACTGTGTTGTTGGTTTGTGCTCGTTGGGCTTCAGTTTTTCTTGGCTTGTACGCAGCCTGTTGTTCCTGAAGCCCTTCAGCCGCCCTTTGTTGGAGATGTTCCCCGTCGGCTTTTGTTCTCCCTCATCCATCGGTAAGTTTTTATTAAGCTGTCTTTTGTTCCTTAAACCTGCCCGTCTGTCTGCCTGTGCGTTCTAAATGCGTCTGAGCTCAACGTAACGCCTTCATGCCTGGAAACCTCGCTGCACTCCATTTGATAAATAAAAGGTTGAATGAATAAAAAAACGGTTGAATAATTTTGCTTATGGGCCTTATTTATCTTTAATCCAACTGGTAAGCTCCACATAATACTCTTAAATAGCTCAAATGTGCATTACTAAAGGTTTTTTGCCTGCTTACCAAGGCTTTTAATATGTTTTCATTAAATGCTGTAGAATTGTTTTAAAATAATTTCGATTGAAACCGCACCCATAAATATTTCAGCAGGCGCGTATCCGTTCCGTTATTTGCCACCGGGCCTCACCTGGCTCGACGATGACCCCGCTGACTTCCCCTTCACACCCGATGACTGTTTCGATGATGTGTAGGCCATGTCCATCACCATGGTAACCACGAGCCCCACCAGGCCGGCCAGCCGAGGCTCGTCCGAGAAGCTCGACAGTCGGCCAATCAGGTCCCTCAGGTAGGTGGGCGCCCTGTTCCCGATGTTGCCCTGCAACTGGGGAGAAGAGAAATGAGGAGGAAGTTTCACTGCGTTGTGAAACGATGACAGAGCTCCGGCCTGCTGTTTCCTATTATCTGTCTCAATAACATCACAATGTTAGCAGAGCAGATTGCTCTCCCCTCCTCTTAAAGAACAGCTGTGAACAACATTCTGTCATCATCATCATCATCCTACTGGTCCTTGATGGCCACCATATTGATTTGCAACCTCTTTCCAAACCCCAACAGGACTCCATCTTTAATACGGAGCGGCGGCGCTCAGTTTTGCACTGTTTGCTTTCTTAAGTGTTTCAAGGCGAAAACCATCTTCCTCCTTCTGCTGTTAATCTCCAGTCTGCACTTCATGGCTGAATGGATTTAAAGGTGATCAATGAGCAGTTCACCTGATCAGAGGAAACACAACATGTACTTCTTTGTAGTCACTCTGTCTCCTCTGTGTTTGGCTCTTATGCTGCTGCACTCATTCAGCTAAATTATTCCCAAACATGCAAAGCTCTGATGTATATTGAATTCTTATTTTTTTTAAGCAAGTGCCACAAACATTGTGCTTTAACTGTTTCTATATTGATTTTAACTAAATGTTGTGTTCCTATCCTTTCTCAGTAATTAACAGCATAGCCTTTATTTGCCACCACAACAGTCACACAGCTCTTGTGTTTGCTAACGAGCTTTCTGCAGGTCTCCACTGGGATTCTGGTCCACTCCTCCAGGTCTTTGAGGTTAAAGGCTTTTTTTTCTCCATCACTCACATCACGGTTTCCTCCACTGAATTCAGATCTGGACTCTCCTCCACAATGCTGATATTGTTTTCTGTTAACTATTTATTGTCCACTTTGGCTCTATGTTTCAAATCTTTGCCTCGTTTAGGGGTCAAATGGTGTCCAAGATTTTCAGCAGACCGCCTGATGTTTTCCTCCACAATCCTAATGTTGTTCTCTTTTCTCACAATGGTAATTACTTGAACAAGTTTGCCTGGTTTGTCAGCTGAAAAATATCCCCAAACTATTACATTCCCACCACCATACATGACTGTGGGGATGGGGTTCTTGGTGTTGAAAGCTTGTCCGTCCTTTTCCCAAACAAAAGCCACGTCCCTGTGTCCAAACAATTTTTGAGCTTTTGTGTCCCTGTCTTGAAGCAATGGACGGCTCCTCTTTGGTAAACATCCCTGGAGCCTTTTTCAGGGTCTGCTTTGAGATATTGATACCAGATTTGCTCAGATTAAACAGGACAGCCTTGTTGGTGATCCTTGGAATCTTCTTGGTCTCTTGCACTTTCATTCTCAGGAGTCACTTTTGACTTCCTATCCTTACCTTTAAGATTCTGATTCTGCTTTGCACTGTGGCCACAGTCACTTGAAAACCCGTGGATGTGACTTTACAGCCTTTCCTCATCTTGTAGACAGCCACACTATGCATGGAGCCTAACAGCAAGCTCATGACTTTCAATACTACGTGACAAGAGAACCACTTCCTCAGCTGTTTTTAGTTTACAGTGTTTTAGAACGTAGTAGAACAGAAATTAGAACCACTTGATGTAGAAGCTGCATTTTCTCAAAAACTAGCAAAAAATTCAAGGGATGTGACCGATTTTGGAGATGGCATTTGTAATAACAAGGTAGAAATGGTTAAAATGCATCATTAACTCCTCGAAGATTAAATCTTTTGTCACTTGTTTATACCATTTGCACCCCAAAGAAACCTACAGGTTAAATATAAATTTGGATATCATTTAGATCTTGGTGTCACGTTTTCTTTGAATGTATTAACCTGCTGCAGTTGTTCCTGGAGGGAGGCCTGGGAGGCGGCGCTCTCCGTCTGATTGGTCAGAAGGACGGGATGGACGACCCCGAGGTCAGGTACGGCGCCACCTTCCAACATGGCGTCGTAGAGGAGGGAACCAATCGCATCCTTCGCTTGAGAAAGTTCCTCCTCTGATGAGAACAGCTGACCCATGATGAGTTCTGTGTTTGTGCAGCGACCAACGAGATTATTTTCCAAATTTATGGCAGCATCTGAGTGGAGAAGAGACACACAAGAGAACATTCAATGGTTTGTTTGTTTTCTTACATAATTATCATGACATTTAAGACAAGCTGTGAATGTCTGTAGCGTCTACACCACTCAACACACATGCAATATATCGATTTAATTCATCAGCATTTGCAAAATACCTCAAAAACTGCCCCCTAACGTTCCCATCAATGCAATGACTTGGTGTTTGGGACAACCGGCCTCTTTTCTACCCCTACTTCCCGTCTTCCTGCTCTGTCTCCGCCTGCTGCAGTAAACCCGTTCACCAAGACAACACTGCAGCGCAGCAGAACCCAGCAGTAAACCTACACCTCCCTCTAGCTGCAGTAGGCTGGGAATGCAGCGACTCCACTCCAAGAACCCCGGCCGGTTCGACTGAGCGATCTCAATCTGTTTTTGTTGCCCGTCAGCTGCCGGTGCATGAAAAACGAAGGCCTCTGAGATTAGCTGTTGTGCAATCTTTCTTATGGCGTTATCTTAAAGTGAATGCGTTATAGTGAAATTAAACTAATCGTCCTCGTGCTGGGGGACTCCGTGGAACAAGCCAGAGGTCCTTGGGAATGAAAGTAATAGCTACAAACTCTTAATGGCTGTGTTAAACATTGAAAAAATAGGCCAAGGGCTTTCAGCTCTTTTATTTAGCTAAATGGAACAGTGGCCTTGGCGGTGGTGGTGTGATGTTGACTTTTTTTACTTGATCAAATATGGGGCAAGGGGATTTGGGATTTTATGTAGCGTGAGCGATGTTCTTTGTTAACTGGGACAAGGGCTTGTGCACATTGTCACATCAGAGTTTTGTGTATATGACAGCTAAATGAAACGCCCCGACACGCTGTCCCGGGCCGTACATCACGTTAACGCGGACGTCTCAATCATTCAGGGTTTTGTGTGTTCGGTCGTGTGGTGCCATTTCTGCACAAGCTCCATATGCCACATGTGGCACCTGTCGGACACGATTAGGCTTTATCATTTAGCGTCGCAAAGCAGCAGATGGTGGAAGGGCTTAAAGGTCAAGCCAAAAAAAGAGAAAAATGTGCAAAATTCAGACGAGAACTAATGACGCTACAGGTGAATGGTGTAGCCAGAAAATCAAGGCGAGCAAGCAGCTGGCTAAATGCAACCCATCACTTTCCATAATTTCATCTTTTGTTGTCGGAAAGTGACTTGTCACTTACCTGGAGACCAGAAAACCTTTGTAACGGTGTCGCCAATCTGATAAGTACTTCTTGAGAACTGCAAGACTTTGCACTTATAAGTATGAAAAGAACAGACATGAATAATACAATTATTGATATCTGAATCCCATTTAGCTGCTTTGGCTCCTGATGTTGTGAATGCTGGATCACTGTCACGATGTCAGAGTTTACTGGGACAGAGCAGATCTGTAGTTAATGATAAACATTACACTTTAAGAATTTGGAATCCATTTTTGGAGCATATCTATTGAAAAACAACCCTGCCTCTGGGACATAAAGGCTCTTTAATGTGCTCCAAGGTGCCACAGTGAGTCTGATATGACATTTAAAACAACAGGCACGAAACAAACCAGAAACATTTTCTCCTTTTCCTTCTCTTCTTCCTCCTCCTCCACATTTTGTTTCCTCCCTCCAGTCTGCTTTCCATCCTGCTGCTCTCCCCTGTTCCTGCTGCTATTGTTGATTCTGATATCTTCTGTCAGTTTGTTGCAGTGTTTACCGGTTGCTGGGAGAGTCTGTGTGTGTGAACATTTCTCTCTCTGTATTCTCGGCCCTGTTGACACAATTCACACTCCTCCGAGAGCAGGGGGAAAAAAATTATCCAAATGTGCTCACGTCACAAACACAACAGCACTTACGAGAAACAGGCAACAATGCACACATGCGTACATGACTAAGTGGTGAAAATGTAGTGCTCTCTCGCTCTCTTTAGCTTTGTTTTTTTTCCCAGTGTCTCTTTGTAAAGGTCTCATTTCCATCTGTGAGTGAAGTAAAGATGAAAGAAGGTCCAGGCGAGGTCAGGAAATAGAAGAAGGGAGATAAACGAAAGAGGAGGTAGGGGGGAGAAGAAGAGGAAAGAAAGGCAAAATAAAATGAATAAGCGATAAAGTAAAGGTGATGTTTATGGCAGAGGGGAGTTGGAGGAAGATGACAGATGGACTCACACACAAACACTCTCAAATTGTGTGGCCTTTTAAATGACAGCCCTCTTGAAACCTCGCTGAATATTAATCATAACGCGCTGAATGTGTTATTTTATGAGATAATGGCACTTGAAAGTCCAATTTAATTTTCAATTAGACTGTAGATAATTCGAGGAGTGGACCTGCGACATTTACATCTGTGTGAGCAAGTGTCTGTACATGTAGACGAGGAAGATGGAAAAAGCTTGTGTGTGTGTTTTTTTATGTGGATGTCAGAAGTTATTGTTCTGTTGTTGAGATTAAGACCTGCTGTGATGTGTTCAGTGATAATTGGGGAACTGTATTGAATATCAATGCATATTGAACATGTGGTCTATGTCTAGACTGTATGTAAAAGATGTAGAATATGTAAAAAGCAAAGCTAAAATGGAAGAATCTTAAACCTGTGTTCTTTCTAACAGCCAGCAGGGGGCGACTCTTCAAAAAGAAGTCCAATTGCACAGAAGTCTATCAGAAAATGACTCTAATTCTCACTTGATTTTCTACCTCAGTGAACATTTTCCTAATCAGTTTATGGTCTCAGCTGCTAGTTTCAAGTCTCCTTCAGTACAGCAGGATGTTCATTTTGTAAATTATTGTCCCATTTAGAGGAAAATAGCCGATAAAACAGGGTATATTTTAGGGAATAACTACCTTGTGATTGACAGATCACTGCTATCCCCGTGTTCTCAGTCAGATCAACCCGTTACTCATAACGTCTGGTTTCAAAAGACCACGATGGGAGGGCCAACTGCTAAACTCAAGGCTTGAAAACAGCAGTTCCTTATCTACACGCACACATAGTGTTCACTCAGACCAATGCTCAAACAGATGCTAATGCCACAGGTCCACTGCTTCACTTATCAACTGTCTAACTGAAAATTTAGTTGGAATTTCAAGTGACATCACTGCGGTTACCTCCATCTTTAACAAGGGGGTGATCAAAAAGTTCCAAGACTGTGCCAATCGAAATCAAACACCTTCAAAGTAGTCTACTTGTACAGCGACACAGTAACACTCCCTGGAAGCCCCAATATGTTGACGTGTCAAACACCATCTGTGATTAGTGCTAAACTGTGTGAAAACAGCGACCCTTCCACCTGAATTTCATTTTGGAGATGAAGAATAAGTCACAGGGAGCAACATCTAGCAAGTAGGGCAAGTGGGGAGTGATGATTGTGTTGTTGTGACCAAAGAAACCTGATGTAATCACCATACTGTGAGCAGGAAGACTCATCTTTCCATTAAATGCTCTCACCTAGACACCGTAAGGCATTACAGTAGGACTCTACCTTGACAATTCAACATGAATGAACAAATTCCCACGGCACCATCACTTGAATGTTGTAGAAAACAACCAGCGAGCTCCCGGTGCCCGTGACCTGATGAACTTCATCCAGTTCAGAAACTGTGGGCTTTTCCAATGTGAAAAACTCTTGTTTCTCCTCTTGGTGGTCGCTGCAGAACCACCTATCATCACCAGATCCTGATATGAGGTTTGGCCTTTCCAGAATGTGATGTTTTCCTCTCTGCTTCGATTTGAGGAGCATATAGAAGCATCAGGCAGTCTCCTGGCTCGTAAAAGTTACTGCTCACACACGGTGCAGGCGTTTGTACGTGATGCGCTGTGTGCATCTCGTAAAGTCTATGGAGTATATTTTGTAACTGTGTGACCAACTTTCATTCTTTTCAGTAGCATTTACAAATTTGCTGGCAAAAACAGTCCAACTTGTTTGGCAAAAACAGTAATCCACTTTCTTTGTCTCTCCAAAGAATCAGCTCCGTCTCTTGGCCTTCTCCGGCAGATGGAGTTGCCCAGTTGTCATGGAGATTTTTTAAAATTGATTTGAGGTGGCCTAAGTTACACATTTTGGATAACAGAAAACTGCAGAGGGAAAAAAAAAAATCCTGGCTCTTGGTCTCCATTTAATCCACCCTCGTGTTTTTTAAAAAAAAAAGTAAAAACAACAGGGAAAAATTGCAAGGGACATTTATTAAATTAAAGATAAGACGGGAACAGTCTAGGCCGCAGCAAATTGCATCATTTGTGGCTACATAGTCGCCCTGACTCACAAAAATGTGTGTAATAACACCACTTAACAACCACATTCAACAAATTTTTGTCAAGTTAAGGTCATGTTTGCGTTTGAGAGTCGACTTCTGTACTCTTGTCCTGCAACACCGCTTTCATTATTGTCAGAACTCATTAGCCCACAGAGCTTTCTGTACATACACTCTTTGCATCCAAGGCTGCGCTAATTAGTTCAGCATGACAAAGTTGTGACACAAAGCTGCTGCTTTCTTTGCCCGCTATATTCATCTCTGCATCCTTTCCCTCCATTTCTCCACACCTCTTCATCATTTCTTCTCTTTCACCCTCCATTTTATGGCTTGTCTTCTTTATCTGCCTCTCTTTCTGCCTGCATCCACCTCCCTCCCTCCCTCCCTGCCTGCCTCCCTCCGATCATTTATGGAGTGTGGAGGAGAATAAAAACAAGTTTAATGTACAGTAATACATCATACCATGACTGCTTTGCCAGGCAGCATCCATTTTGTGAGGCTGTTGTGTTCACTTAGCAGCAGTGCGGCTAATTATTGCAAATGACAGCTGTTGAAAAGAGTATTAATGTCTCCTTTCTACATGGATACGTCCAGTTGTATGTGGCTGATTAAAGTAGTCACAGGCCAAACTTCAAAAAAAGAAAATGAGAGCGACACAGAAAAAGAGAGCCTGAAATGTGTCTTGTTAGGTAAAAGCCCCATAAATCCAACTTTAACTTTAATTAAAGCTGTCACTGGCTAAAGGTACTCTAATCATCATCCATCTTGGCGCCCTATAAAGTTTACATCTGAAGCACTTTGATGTAACAGGGTCTCTGGATGTGAGACGCTGGATGTTGTGAAGCTTTCTTAACAAGAAAAAGACGAAAAAGGTTGTTTTTCTAGAGGACGTTATGTTCTAAATGAACAATGGGATGCATTTGTCAGCTAAAGTTTATGTAGAAATAAAGAAAACTTGCAGGAAAAATCATGTGTTCACTGTCAAAGTGTGGATTTTAATGAGTATGAGTGACATATACACGACTGCCTCTGGAAGTTAAACACTTAGTCACCAAATCTTTGTATAAAATGTGTGATTTGATATGCAGAAAGTGGGGGAAAAAAGTGGATAATTGATGATAAATCCAGCTGGCCAACCTCCAGAAGCAATATTACATCAATCTACAGCTCTTATATAAGCATATTTGCTTATCGTAAGTCTCCACATTGTTAAGCGTATGCAGCACACGGTGGCAGGTCACGGCAGCCTGTCAACATCTGAGGCGTTTATAGCACAAGGCAACAAGCAGAACACTGTTCATCGAATAAAGTGAAGAGATTAAATATGTTTGGGGGTCATTAAAATGTCAGAGAGAAAAGAGGGAGATTAAAAAGACAGAGTGTGACCGGGCAGCAGGAGAGACGCAGATAAGAAAGGGACTTAGAGTAAGTGTCAAAACATATTTTGAAGGAGCATCTCCCTGTCTGCAGGAGATAATGGAGGGAAAGGAGAGAATTGCAAGAAAGCACTTACCTCTGCAGAGAGTTTTTCTCTCAGCTTTGGAGGAACACCTGCTCAGAGCTGCCTCCAGGTAAAGTACTGCAGCAGAGGTGTGTGTGTGTGTGTTGTGTCTGTCAAATCCGCAGTGGAGGAAAAACAGTGCGTACACTTGGGTCTGTGCACCACTAGATAATCCTTAAAAATGTATTATTCAAAAAGAAAAGTAATTACATAATCTGCAAGAATTACCCAGAATCTATACTGCATTAGATAGATAGATAGATAGATAGATAGATAGATAGATAGATAGATAGATAGATAGATTTAAAATGATAAAATATTGATTAAAAATAGAAGGAAAAAATTGTCGTAGATAACGAGGAGGGTAATGGTCTGATTATGGGGGAGTATTTTCAAAACATAAATAAATAATTTATCCTCATATATTGTCCTCATATAATTTTCATTTTATTTTAATGCTTTTATTTAAATTTTTATTATGTTTATATTATTATAAATATATGTCATTATTTCATGTACATATATTAAACATAAATTATATGTTGACACCCAGACCCACTCGCAATTTTGCAGTTGAAAGAGTTTGTAATCACCTAAAGTGTGCATTGAGGCATTTGACAGTTAAATGATCTCCCTTCAGTCCCTGTATGGAAATTAATCTGAGTGTAATTATGTAATTATTACAATGAAAACATCCATATGAACGAGTACAGTTGACATCCACACGGTGATGAGTGTTTGGATTAATATGCAGATTGTTGTGTTTTGGGTGTTTTCTTCTTTCCTTTTTCTCTCCGGTGTCACAGAGACCCCTGCTGGACGGCAGATCCGTCTCCGGTGTAAACAAACCGGCCAATATGGCGGCGCCCATGGTCGACTGAAGATGTGGCAAACTTCTGCTAGCACGGATGAGCTATTGTAGACATTTTTACAACATAATGGCTGAACCGAAAAGCGAGGGGAGTTCGGTTCGTTACTTCTGCACCGCCGGTAACGGGATGGAGCCGTTTTTAATGGACGAGGTGAAGAAGAAGCTGGCGGCTGAACATGTGAGTGTTAGCCGTTAGCCGTTAGCCGCCTGGATGCTGTTTAGCTGCATGTTAGCAGGAGACCAACCCACAGCTGCTGTTTAGAACTACACCGACTTTATGTTGGTTTTACAAAGACTCTGAGGAACAGAAATGTTTTATATTGACTGTGTTGTATGTGTGTACAAATCAAGAATTAGCCTTACTAGCTTGTCACAGTAAATAATACTGTTTATAGCTAAGTAGTGCAGCCAAAGAAATACAGAAAAGTTTTGCTATTTTAAAAAAAATGTATAGTTAAACTTTATTTTATTCCGCTGTTGTTCCTCTCCTCTCACATTAAGGATTGCTGTTCATTAGTGAAATATAAATATATTGCCTCTGTGCACACCTTAGTTCAGTCTTTGCCAATAAACAATCAATTCTTAAGTAAGACTTTAATTGTGGAGCAATTTTCATTCAAATAAAATGCAACACAAAGTGCTTTACATATTAAAAAATAAATAAAAATACACCACTCACCCTTCCTCAGACTTCGTTCTAATAACCATAAATATATGAAATGAGGAGACACCAGAGGCAGCTTGAGGCAATAATTCAGAAAAGGAAAAACAATGAGACAAGAATAAAACCTTGAGTTTTCTTTTTAAATGATTAACATTTTCTACGGCACTCAAGTCCTCAGACGGCTGTTTCATTATGAAGGATTATTGCCAAAGGTTATTTATGCTGCCCGTGTGTGTGTTAATGTTAGATGTGATGGTTTGTATCTCGCCTGTAGTTAGTTGATGATGGCCTTCACAATAGTCAGAACCTCACTGATGTTTATAATTGATACGGTAAGATAAGCCTTTATTAATCCCACTATGGAGACATTTGCAGTGTTACAGCAGCAACGGGCGTAGTGCAAACGTATCAGCAACAAACAAACATACATAAGTACTGATTATGTGGATATTCAGATATTGCACAGATTCCTCTGGATGTGGAAAAAAAACACTATTGCACGTGTCTATATAATGAAAAACAATTATATGGTGCAGATTCTTACATAAGAGGATAAATGTTGCTACTGCACAGACTAGATGTAGAAAAACTGATATTGCAAAGAGTTTTGTCTGTTAATGGAAGCGGTCTTCGTCTTAGTCAAAGTGAGTCACATCCACATAAAACATTGTAGTAAACCATCAAGTCTGTGCCAATATGATAGCACCTAATTTATATATTAGTCTAAAGGCTGATCAGCTTCTACTTTAACAATCCAGTATTGGTCAACTGAGGGTTTGAGTTTGTTTTATGTAACTTGTGGATAATACAGCTGCTAAAGAGTCCTTAAAAATGAGACATAATTTTTGTTCCCAGGTGTGTCAGATGCCTGGTAAAGTGTTGTTCAGCTCCTCTGCAAGGATCGACAAAGTCAGTGACCTGAAGGCTGCAGAGAGACTCTTCCTTCTGTTGAAAGACGACTCACCCTTGAAGATATCTGCACACACCAGCCCAGGTATGTATGCCTGTCTTTCACCTGAAGTGTAGTACCCACGCCCTGTGGTGTTTAACTGCAACTTTTGCATTGATTGTGTTTTCACAGCAAAGGCAGCCTCTGTGCTGCAGTCCAGACTGCTGGGTGACAGACATCAGTGGAGCAGTGCTGTAATGACATGGAGCCGCCTGCAGGGGGAGCTGGCGGGCAGCAGGACTACTGTAAAAACACCAAAACCTGAGGAGGGGAGAGGGAGTGAGGAACAGGGAGAGAAAGGGCAGAACTGCCTCGTAGAGTGTAGAAAAAGTCCAGAGGAGCAGAGGGAAGAGGAGAATGTAAATGGGAGGCCGAGAAGTGGTGAACAAAATGGAACACAGACACTGGAAAAGAAGAGAAAGAGGGACCATGAAGAAGAAGAAGAGGAGGAGGTGAAGGAGAGGAAGGTTGCAGCTAGTGTTGAGAATAAAGTAGAGAAAGGGAAGTCATCTGAGAGACAGAGGAGGAGAGAGGAGGAAGCAGAGACAGGGATGGATACGGAGTTTAGCAGCTGTAGAAAAAACGGTAAACATGAAACAGACGTCAGTGGCAGAGAATCGGTTTGTGATCAGCAAACAGCAGGACTGGAGCAGGATGAGGAAAGTAGCAGCAGGATGGTGGATGACAAACCAACAGAAAGTGTGCAGAATGGTATGAAGATGGATCATTTTTAAAGTTTTTCAGTACAACTTGTGTAATGTCAAGTTCTAAGAGAAGTATATTTTAATTGATGCTGTTCTTCTGTGTTCTCATGTTTGTCTTCATTTGAAGTGAAGACCACAGAAGACAGAGATGAGAAGCCACTGAGCGCCAGCAGGAACAAACCAGAGCTGCCTTCTTGTGTCCCGGTTTCTTTTAGGATTAGCTGCAAATGTACCGGATCTCTGTCCCGGTGCTTCAGCGCACAGGTAGAGAACATTACACATGACAAAGCAGAGTAAAGTTTGTGTATTGTTTCTGGCTGTTGTCTGCACTGTATGTGTTACAAAGACGTACAGTTTGTGTAAAGATAGAAAATCTTGTTAAAGCTGCAAATTGTGAGGCTTCCCATCTCTGTCCATCTCAAACGGGCTCTTATACTATACAACATTTTCTCAGTTTATTTTAGGGTTTAAAAGTTCACACATCACTTACTGCCGATCCATTAGTGGTTCATCTTTAAGTTTCACTGTCAGATGGACGTATTTTTTATTCTTCCTGAACTGCACACCCAAACAGACAGAAACAGAGATCTGTATTAAGCTGAGATGTCATTTACAGAAGTAGGCATATGTGTGTAATGTTCACAGGATTATTGTTTGTTTGCATTTTGTGTCTGATACAGGAGGTGAGCACCGTGATTGGAGCAGGTCTGAGCAGACTCCTGGGCTGGAAGGTTGACCTGAAGAATCCCCAGCTGGAGGTAAAGCTTTATTTATTATCAGGTAATTAACTGTGTGTCTCTACAGGTACGAGGGGGAAGTAAATGCTCCTTCTCTGGATAATGTTGTTGACTGACTGCTTTCTTTCCTGTCATTTCATTCATGATGTTGCTCTTTTCTGCAGGTTAATGTCTATTTGAGTGATGACCACTGCCTGCTGGGGATTCCACTGACCAGGTTAGTGGTCGTTTTCTTTACATTTAATACCTATTATTAATTCTGTAACACACTGGGCTGCCACTAATGATTAATTTCACTGCTGATGATTCTGGTGATTATTTTCTTGATTGATTAATTAGTTGTTTTTTCTATAAGATGACAGGAAAATGTAAAAATATTGATCAGTGTTTCCCAAATCCCAAGATGACATCCTTAATTGTCTTGTTAACATCCCAATGATGTTCAGTTTGTCGTCATGAAGGAATAAAGAAACCAGAAAATATTTTGATTTAGGAAGAGGGAATAAAACATTTTTGACTTTTTATATTTACAAGAACTGCTCGGATTCAGTTGTCAGAACAGTTTTGTCACTTTAGTGATACAACTTGCAACGCTGATGTGCTTGATGCCTTTCATCATGCTTTAGCAAATTTATGCACCCCAAATAATGCTAAAACTGTTGAATATCCAGTTCTCATAACCACTGGATCTATATACGGTGGTGGGTTACAGAGCTACTTCATATTGCAGCTTTAAATAATTTGTAAGGCCCACGTGAGTTGTGGCTTCTCTCTGTTCCCTTCAGGTTACCTCTGGCTAAGAGGAGCTACATTAAAACCACAGGACTGAGGTCTACCATAGCCTGGGCTATGACCTCACTGGCTCACATTCAGGTACGAGCACACACAGCTGCTGGATGGCTGTCGCTTCACTCTTCATGTATGGTTTCTACAGTTATGACTTCTCAGACCTGCGAGGAAACGACACTGTTGTGTGCATGCTTTTGTTTATTTATGCAAATCAGACGGCATCATCAAATAATGCAGCCCTCCCTCTTCTTTGTCTTTGTCGCACAAAGATATTAGTTTTGTTTGTTTTATCCCCTTAAAGAGGCAGAGTTAGATTTAAATGTGACCATTCAGCAGCTACACTAAAGCGTATTTGTTGTCTGTTACCATGCAGCCTGTATGGAAAGCGTTTGCATGCCAACCGGTCAAACTGTGATGTAATGTCGCCCTTCAGTCACGGCTGATCATGTCCTGTATGTTATCCTCTGTTTCCCAGCCAGGCTTCCGTGTGATCGACCCCATGTGTGGGGTGGGAACCGTCTTAATAGAAGCGGCACGAGAACACGAGGTCAGGACAGAAATCAATGCGGCGCTCGTGTAAATCTGTCATGCGGAGAAATGTCTGGAAAGTCATCTTTTTAAGTATTAATACGTTTGGAACTGGACAAAGCATGTAAAGCATCTGATAAACGGTTCAGTCCTGGTACACATGACTGCTGTCTGTGTTTTTTATGTTATGCAACGAACATAGTTGAGATATGCAGTCATGGGTTCTAATTAATGCTAGTTTTAGATGATTTCATTTGTTTTTTTTACTGATTACTTTACATTTGATAAATAATTTTTGAATATGTAATTTTTTTACTTATAGAAATGCACACATCATAAAGATTAATACACAAGTTTGGAGTTTTCAGTCATAAATAGTGTGAAGCTGCTGCTGTTAGAATGCGATCAAACGCTGTCAATGGGATGTTCAGGCTGCCTGCTTCCTGGGGACGGACGTCGATGATGGACAGCTGCAGAGGGCCAATGAGAACATAGCGTTTGCAGAAATGGGAAACAGGATACACCTGCTGAAAGCTTCATCTATGGGTAGGAAACCTGCTCAAAATGACCTTTGGAACAGTACATTTTCAGGTTGCCATGAAACATCTCACATGGTTGGCTCTGAGCTGATTTTCATACCCAAAGAGACACACAGTGGTGCCGCTTTACAAACAGTACAAGCATTTTTATAGTAGAACCCAAAGATGTCCCTGCATTCATGATCAGTTAGTCAAATACATGTAAAGTATGATGTAAACCTGCTCTAAGTGTCAAGCGTATAGCAGTTTGTACACACATGTACTTAAAAAATGGCACGATTTAGACTTTTGACATGACATTAGTGATGCACAATGGTATTGGCCTCATCACTGATATCAACATTTAAAGGTTTTAAAATGAAAAATCAGCCCAGATGGAACACATGGACAGGCAGCATGAAAGTTCACAGTTTTGTTTAAAAACTATACATGAATAAATATAGTATGTTTTACATGTAATTGAAGTAGTTTTCATATTTGAAATGCTGTGTATGTTATGTCTGCACCTGACAATACGAGCTGGCATAATAATATGTTGATCCCATCAGAGGAGAGATTCTATGTTTTCAGCAATTAGGTGGAAAAATATGTACATATATCTCTATCTGCGTCGGCATTCAGCCAAGATGAGCTGGAAAATAACAGCATATTGGATACTGGAGAAGTTCCAGCATCATGTGAGCCTTTATGAAATGCAGCAGCTTAGAAAATAGATTGTTGTTTCTTCTTTTGAAGAGGAAAACTGTCTGCTTTTTGGAAAACTGACAAATGTAGGTCAGATTAAAAGACAAAAGCTTTTAAAGCTTTATTTGAAACTTTAATTTGTGACACTGTTACATATTAAGTCACTGATATTCTAGAGAAATAGATGAATAACTCTCATGCTGTGGTGCCTTTCACTTAATCCATACTGCGTACGGTGTAGCTTTTAAAACCTGAACTCCTGACTTTAACTGTGGATCCAGGGCTGTGTGTTTTGGATGGGAACCGCTGAGTGGGCGGTGAGTGTGAATCCTGCTGTCATGTATTAAATTACCTGTTGGCTTGTTTGTCCTCCTCTGTGTGTGCAGCGCTGCCTCTGCCCGACGCCAGTGTAGACGCTGTGATCTGTGACCTGCCATTTGGCAGGAAGTTTGGCACCAAAACAAACATGGCTGCCAGTCTGCCACTCATCCTCAGTGAGATGGAGAGGTCTGTTCCTCTGTTTCACTTGTTTCTTTTAGGACTGTTCGGTGAATCAGAACATGTGGTTTTTGTGTGTGTTCATGTCCTGTGCAGGATTTATGTGTCAGGAAAGATTCTCAGCTGTACAAATGTAGACATTATTTTTTGTCCTTAATATAACTAACATCTTAATGCATTAATCTTCATGGAAATCACAGAAAGAAAGAGTTATAACGCCCATTAATCTAATGAATGACTGTGTGTTTAGAGTCCTCTGTATCGGTGGTATCCTGGTTCTCCTCCTGAGTCCTCAGTTGTCCTGTCTCCTGAAAAAACTTCTGACTGGACCGACGTCTAACCAGGAAGCAAAGCCTCCAGCTGGGATGGAACGCAGCCCGTCTCCTTCTGTATCTCCCACAAAGCAGCAGACTTTCCAAATCCACCCGGAGGTCAAATCCTCACCTCACCACAGTCTGCTGCCCTCGTTGTCCTCCCTGAAGCATGAAGCAACTTTCAGAGTCAGTTTAGGAGCAATAGATGGACTCATCCATAAATATGTCAAAACAGGCTCCTGATCAGTGATACTAGAAGCTACAGTTCAGAGTAATTAGTTTGTTTGTGTTGCTTATTGTGGAAAATGTGACGAGTCTGTAACATGTTTAGGTTTGCAGACATTTCTTAAATCGAAGAGTATGTAAATAAATATATATTTCTAAATAACTGCCGAATGCTTTGGAAGTGTGGATTGAATTTTTAGCATTCCAGAGTCCTCTGCTCTTCAAACAGTGCTCCAGTTTGTTGGTTAAAGATCAACTCCTGAATAGGGACTTTAAATCTCTTGTTTCTTTCACTTTAGGTGTGATTTTTGGGACAGATGTGTTTCAGACAGGATGAGTTTGATCATACACACTTTATTAACAACAAAAACGATGAGAAAATATGCTTGCAGGGACTTTTCAACCTTCTTGCTCTGTGTGTGACATTCAATTCCCAAACTGTCCGGTTTCCATGAAGAAGCAAATCTTAAAAAACAGCTCACAAATGTAGGCTTTCATTTAGTAAAACCTCTCAGTAGTTTTGTAAAGCAGTTCCAGTTTTTCGCAAATATTACTCAAACTGGGGTAAATCGTGCTTTTCTTGGAGACTTTTTCATCTTCTAATTTAATACACATTTGCTGATCTGATAATAACATTGAGATGATGATGCTCGTGCTAATGAAGGAACATGTGACCCAGTGCAGCTGCGTCGCTCACTAATATGTTTGCAGCAGACTTTGGACCACTAGAGGTTTATGGCACAGAGTAGGAAACAATATCAGAATCGGCTTTATTGGCCAAGTATGTGTACACATACAGCTCTGTTTTCGTCTTTGCTCGCAGCGTACTTGCACAGAAAAAACACACATGCAGTCAAACAATGGCTTCAAGTTTAAAATAAAAAGGAAATAAAGTTTAGTTGTTGATGCTTGTTTAAAGTAAACCAAAAATTGTGTACAAATTGTGCAGGAATACAGTTATTACTAATACATACAAGGGGGTGATGCTTTATATACATGAGAAAGGTGGATGACAGTGCAATGAGGCAGAAATCAGTGTTTCTGGAATGAAATATGAACATTAATATACAATATATACGTTGGTTTAGGGTTAGAGATTAAAATAAAAAACAAAAACCTCCTGATGTCATTTTAATCTGAACGATAGTCTGTGGGAAGAAAAGCTTCGACTGCACAGAAAACACTCGTGATTGGGATTGATAAATTATTGGATTTGATCTTTTGTTGACGCAAATAAAAAGTTTTCAGTGGTGGGACCTTTGTTCTGCCCGCAACAGGGACCCCATTGACTCACAATGATGCCATCTGCTACTGTTCAGCCCTACTTAGCCCAGTTTTACAGTGAGGGGCTAGACAAGGCCACGCAGAGCTTAGTATTCCATAGCTGCAAACTTTCTGCTTTTCACTGCCCGTGCAGATTAGAAAACATGGCTTCATTTTCACTGTATAGATCCAATAGTGACATTTATGTTTGGGTTATAATTAGCTGTGATTTTCTCTTGTGTTTTTACTTTTAATTGCACGCATAAACAAAATGACAACTGTTTTTATTTTTCAGCTTAAATTAGAACACGTATCTGTTGAATCCATTCTTAAATACAGCTCCTAAATCCAACAGCTCCATCTCCCTCGTCAGACACCATGGAGAGGGTACGCCATGATGTCCATTGCGCATGCTCATTGCGCAGTGGAAGCCATGTTGGAGCTACAGTGGATTCGGGCTGGGATTTTCTGACGCCGTATGTTTTTCTTAAAATATCTGTTTTCTAACGTCGTCGGGGTTCGTCAAACGTGCGCTACCGGCGCCGTAATCGGCCGTGGAAATGATGAACTCCAGTGTCGACCTGTCCCGGCGGAATCCGCAGGAGGATTTCGAGCTGATCCAGAGGATAGGAAGCGGCACATATGGGGATGTGTACAAGGTAAAACTGCAGTGAGGGAAGCAGCGACATGGTTCCATTTTCGGACACGGAGTCGTTAGACGCCACAAACTAATTTATTGAGTTTTTTCGTTCTTTCAGTGGTGTCGTAACAGTATTACATAACATGTAGTGGTCATCAAAACATTTCTGATATACAGTTTGCTGCAGGGCTCCGTTTTGATGTTTACTGGTGCAGTATTTAATCTGCTGCTCATGTGTGTGGTTCCATTATCGGACACACCGCCGCGACTGCACTACACTGATGGCTTGTGACTGTTATTGTTTTGGCCTTTCTCCTCGACTATTTACCGACACTGTGGACATCCGGGTTTGCCTTATGGAAATGGCTTTTAATTGCTTCAGTGCCCGTTTGATGAGAAACCGTAAATAATCATAATCGTCAACAGTGACTGTAAACCGTTTTGTCGGGGCGCTTACGTTAAATTTGATTTTGTCGAGTAGAAATCCCATTTACTTTGTTGTCTTACAAATAACATGCGAATCCCAGGGGGACGTGATTGTTTACACGCAGTGAGCCGCGTTCCTCGTCTGAACATTATGCTAAAAAAGCTGCGGTTTACCGTTTGAGGTTGCCTGAGACGTGTCCGATAATAGACGCCTGGCGGCTAGCTGTCCGACAACGAACGCGGTTCAACCGGATAGCATCGCCAAGCTAACCAGGCGTTTAGCTGCTTCGTGGGGGAAACACAGCGACAAAATGTCAACAAGCAGGGCTTTGCTACCTGTACGGGAAACACAGACAGCCCACTAGTATCGCAATTAATCGTATTATGGCGGAATTATTAGTCGGATTTGAATAAAAAGTGCCTCCGTTTAGCCCAGACAGAGACTGACAGCTGCCTGCCTGGAGAAGCACTCGGGCTAAAGCGAGCTACAACAACAACGTGAATATCAGCGCATTGTGCTGCTAGTCTTCACCTTTTAACACCTCTGATGACTAGCCACAGCTATTAAAGAACCGGGGTGCACATTTCTATGCCTGTATGTGATATAGGTCGCGTTAGAGCCGCTCTCTTTGATCCCACACTTTGCCAAGGCCCAGCGCTGGGAGCAGACAGCCTGGGATCCGGACTGGGAGGCAGTTCCTGAATGGCAGCCCATTACAGACGCATCGGGTGTCATAATGTTGATTATATGCAACGCTGAACAACTGCAATTATAATCATATGGCACGATTTCGTAAAATGCAATGCAGGAACGCAGCCATGCAAAATTTATAGTATGGCAGAAAAGTGTGAAGTATTGCTGCAGAACATAAAAACAAATGGCACCATGCAGGATGAGGTGGCTGTAAATCTACAGCTGAGCACCACAGACAAACAAAAAAATACAAATGCACAGTAAAATTAGAGTATTTTTCATTCTTGATGACTTCAGAGACATACCTGGTTGAATTGCCCAACAGCCCCCTACAGTATTTAGTTAAGCATCCACGCTGGTAGTTCTGTAGCTGTTTGTGTAGCAGCTGCTCTGTTGTGGAATTTAATTTAGCTGCTGTGTAAGGGAGAGGCTTCTGGCCCACTGGAGATTCATTAAACACTTTAATAAGGCTAGATGATGTTTGGTTAACCTCCAGGCTCTTTGTGGCAATTACAGGAATCCTAAAGAGCAGAGATGTGAAGCATTTTCAGTCTTTTTGGACTCGTAGCTGCCGTTCATGTCAAAAGTAACCCGGTATATGTCGTTATTTCTTTCTTTTTTTGGTTGTGTGTTTTCCATATTGCATCCCTCCCGGCTGCAGCTTATCTTGTTTCTAATTTAAGTTCAGTATCTTGCCTTGTTGCAGACAGATAGGTCTGACAGAATGTGTTCGGCAGGCCGGGCGCTCGGAGCCGACTCGATTGCCAAACCTGTCACAAACAGTGAACAGCTGATTAACGTGCACGAGTGTACCGTTTAAAAACGTTTGTAATTGAGAAAAACATTCTGCATTTCAACATAAACATGAAAAGAGAGATAAAACACATTTGTAATTAGTTGCTGATATCGTATTTATCCATGGATAAGGCTGATTTAGTGTAAAATCTGTGAAATTACAGCGTGGCTGATGCTCCAGTTCACATTAACAGCAGGGGTTTGCTGCAGGACAGCGCTCAGACCTGAAACCTCTGGATTAAAGGATGTGCTTCTAAGCACCGTGGCTCTTGGTAAACCTCATCGATGCCTATATTTGGTTCTACCACTGTGTGAAAAAGTGTGGCTTGGATAGGAATGTTTGAGCAGGAAACAAAGCATGAACTCTGCTAGCTTGTTTTCTCCTCTGTTTGTAGCCATGCCTCCCTGTCTGTGTCTATTAGAAACCCAAGGAGGAGGAGGAGAGGGGGTGGGATTGGCTGACGGTGAAACCGGCCGTCTGACCGCAAGATCACAAGTTTGATCCTGAAAAGAGTGTTCTTGTAGGGGTATCTCTGGGAGGAACTGGTACTTTTTAAGCTGCCAGTGCTACATGCTGATAGGTAATGTCAATAAACTGGGTCGTTTCATGCCAAAATTCATGCCGAGGATTCCGATATTTCCCTCAGGACCCCGATAACAGTCCTGGGAGTAAAACAACTCTCCATTTCAACTCAGACTAATGAAATTCTTGAGTCGCCCCTAAAGGCAAGGTGAGGCAGGTTGCATTATTACAGATAACCCCGAGGCTGTTTAGTTAAGAAGGACAATGCAACACTGAGGGCTGGGCAGCTTATCAGTGTGAATAATGAAGTTATTCCTTTTGATTATTAATGTCATTGATTATTAATGTCATCTACATATTTACCACGAGTATTAAGACAAGATAAGATTCCTGAAATACTTGTCTATACCAGCGGAGCACGTTGACTCCTCCTTTGCACAGCGCGGTGTAAATAACGGCAACTTGACACGTGATTTACTGTCCCGAACACAAATCATTATCCACGTGTCGATACTGGAGGAAAGCCACCCTGCTTCCTCTGTATTAGAGGGGACAGCGTTAGTGATTTTTTTTAAACCCAACATCATCCTGTTTTCTCACCTTCTGTGCCTTGAAATGCGTCTGGAAAGCAACAGTTTAATTCAGTTTCCACCTACAGAATCCCAGTAACATGATGCCAATAGGCTGCACACGGCATGCTTGTGTTTACCAGTCGGACCGCTCTGTGGTGCTTTAAAACCAAAGACGAGCTAAACAGAACCCATATTTGACATCGATGAGCCTGGTTTTCTCCCTCTGATGTTAAAGATACCATTTGTATTGATTTGCCACCTCATGCGGGCAGAGTGGAGAAGCGACAACGCTTTTCTTTCACGGCCCCACTTTGTCATTTGCGACTGCTTCGAAACAGATTCAATAAATGCAAGCACCAGATAAATATGTTGCCCTAAACCCACAGAAACATGCTCCAGATGCCTTCACTGTACGAGTATTTTCCAGTAAACAAGATGACTTGCGTTGCTGTAGATTCGCTTGTTTTCTTGCGGTGACGGAGCTTGTGGCTTCAGATTGACGAAGCAGAGGGAGGCGTCGGCCTTCGTTGGGGATAGAGATCAGTTAATCAATTTCAGGAGCAGCGTGTGCTTTAGAAACATGCCAGCCGTCTGGGTATTTTTGGACTTCAAGTCAGGGGCAAAGCAATGCTCCTGTGCCTGTTCACCATCCATATTTTAAACTGTTTTTTTGGTCAGTTTAGGAGCTGAATATCCCAGTTTTGTGCAACATTAATCGAACTAACATGGTAAAACAATGTGCCTTTTCAAGCTTTCTTTAAATGCGTAACCTATTCCAGATTGAACAAGCGTGGATTATCCTGGGTTTGACTTTGATGCCGCATGTCCCGCCATAAAAGTAAGCGTGGCGTCCACAGTCGAAGCAACGCTAAGTGGATGTCTATTCACTCCCTCCTAATGTACATAACGGCTAATGTCCTTAGCAGTCACAAACGTGGGGACGGTAATGATTTCCTTTTGGCCAGACCTCGGTGTGTGTGTGGCACAGCTGGGCAGCCGTGGTCCAGGAATGCAGGAATCCTCACTTCCTCCGTGTATGCGGTTGTGTGTTTGTCCTATTGTTTCACAAGGAAGACGGTGGAGCAAAGAGCTGCAGTGCAACACACACACACAAAATAAGGTGATTGTATCATCGCATGCATAGACACACACACACACACACGCAGATGGCCGTAGAGTCACAATTAAAGCTGCTGGCCCACAACCATCCTGTTTTTGTCACTGTTCCTCCAGTTGTTTGCTCACTGAGGTGGATATACAAAACCTTAGTCTGCGTGTACACAAAAAGCTCCAAAGCAAAGCAAAGGCTCCAGAAATCCTCTCTGGCGGCAGATCGGATATTTAGTCCCCATCTTGGCACTTGGGGTTTCTGCTCTCCAAGTGCGATCCGTGTGCTGTGCAGGAATTTGTCTGTGTGCCACTGGTGCAGTGGCGTATTGATAACTCGCATAGTTACACAGTAGTTAATGACACAGTGTGGTGGCAGGGGACAAAACCAGATGTACCAGTAAAAATAGCACAGTGACTGTGCATTCAGGCAGCATCGTGTTAGGCTGGGTTTCTGTGTTAATGCTGCTAAAGAATACTACGTTTTAAGGGCTATAAATAAGGAAATGAGTTTGTGATTGGAGATGTTGAGTGTAGATGTACTTTTGGTTTTAATTTTAATGCATAAGTTGAGTCATTACACTTTAATAAGGAAGTGCAGAAGTGATATCTTCAGTCTTATAGAAGCTATAAGAGTCTAATATGAAGTCGTGCATTATCAGAATTGGCATATCAATCTCCTGCGCGAAGCCTTTTAACTATGTAAACAAATGCCCGGGCCAGTGAGGTTGGCAGTATCTTGAGTCAGGGTGTGCCCAGTTATTAATAGTGTGGCTAAACCGCGTTGATAAAGGTCAACACAAAACCCAGCAGCTTCTTCTGCTCCTTGTATTAAACGCTTAATGACTAATAAAACGTCTGCCGAGGATAAGCCATTGTTTTGCGCGGTCTACGGTGCAAGA